TAGGTTCAGGCAATTCTCCTGCCTCAGCCTCCTGAGTAGCTGGGATTACAGGCACGCGCCACCATGCCCAGCTAATTTTTGTATTTTCAGTAGAGACGGGGTTTCACCATGTTAACCAGAATGGTCTCGATCTCTTGACCTCGTGATCCACCCGCCTCGGCCTCCCAAAGTGCTGGGATTACAGGCGTGAGCCACCGCGCCCGGCCTGCTCTCCATTTTCTAGGGTGTTGTGGGTGAACTTGGCTTGAATCTTTAGGCTGCCATGACTGTGTCTTGCCTTGGATTGCAGCCTCTTTCTTTTCTCCTGCCACACCCTCCTGGAGGCTGATGAATGCCCAGGCCTTTGCATACTCTGAGCTGCGACTTTTTCCAGATGCCTTGTAACTTAAGGAGACAGGGCCCTCACCTCCCCTGGACAGGCTTCTTCCGGCTGCCCTCTTTGAGCATAAGGCTGGTTTGAGTTTCCAGGGTACCTCAGTCCTCAGCTCAAAATTAATCTCAAAAGGAAAGCTGACGGCTATGTTTTCCTTTCTGCCCCAGTGCACAGGGAGCATTGCAGAAAGGTCAAACTGGCACTTGGCTGACAGCCTGAGCCTGGAAGGGTGGTGCTATTTTGGTCCCCTCCCTCCGGCAGAGCTGGCAAGTCCAGAGCAGTGGGGAAGAGAAGGGCTGCCTCCCCTTGCCCTCTGAGCAAGAGCACGCTGCCCTCCCACCACCTCTCATGCCTCTTGCCCTGCTGTCATTAATCTGGTCCCTTTTGACCAGTGACCCAATTTCATCACTTGTTACCTAAGTGAGACCCTGGTAGAAAAGCTGTGATTCACGACTGCTGTTTGCACCTGGAATGGGAATCAGAGGGCTTGAGTTCCAGCCCTGGCTCTGCCCTCACTACCCTGCCTGGGTCCACGTCGCTGAGCTCGGCAGCCTCCTAGTGCCTTTCCAAAGCCTTCCATGACCATTTTTTTCATCATGTCTTATAAGACCCATGGGTGAGTAGATATAATCCCACTTTTTTTTTTTTTGTTACTGATTGTCAACTATACATAAAATTTACCATTTACCACTGAAATAACTTCAAACTCTGTAAGTCTCTGGCATTTAGTATATGCACAATGTTGTATGATCACCACTACTATCTAGTTCTAGAAAATGTTTATCACCCCAAAAGGAAACTCCATACCCAGTAAGCAGACACTACTCATTACACTGCTTTACTTATTCTGGATGTTTTCTACAAATAGAATCATACTGTATGTGGCTTTTGCTTCTGGCTTCCTTCACTTAGCATGTTTTCAAGATTCATCCACATTGCAGTAGGTATTAGTAGCTCATTCCTTTTAACAGCTGAATAATATTCTGTTGTATAGATACTATGCATTTTAGTTGTCAGTCGATGGACATTTGGGTTGTTTCCACCTTTTTGCTGTTGTGAATAGTGCTGCTATGAACATTTGTGTACACATTTTTTGCTTATCTGTTTTCACTTCTTTTGGATATCTATCTAGGTAGGAGTAGAATTGCTGGGTTATATGGTAATTCTATATTTAACTTATTGAGGGTTTTACATTCCCACCAGCAATGAGGATTTTAGTTTCTCCATGTCCTCACCTACCGTCTTAGTCTGTTTTGTGCTGCTTTAACAGAATATTGCCCACTGGGTAATTTATTTATTTAGTTTATTTTTTTTTGAGATGGAGTCTCCCTCTGTTGCCCAGGCTGGAATGCAGTGGTGCGATCTCGGCTCACTGCAACCTCCATCTCCCCGGTTCAAATGATTCTCCTGCCTCAGTCTCCCAAGTAGCTGCAACTAAAGGTGCGCGCCACCACACCCAGCTAATTTTTGTATTTTTAGTAGAGACAGGGTTTCACCATGTTGTTCAGGATGGTCTCGATATCCTGACCTCATGATCTGCCCGCCTCGGCCTCCCAAAGTGCTGGGATTACAGGCGTGAGCCACTGTGCCCGGCCCCCTGGGTAATTTATAAACAATAGAAGTTTATTTGGCTCATGGTTCTGGAGGGTGTGAAGTCCAAGACTGAGGGGTTGCATCTGTTGAGGGCTTTCTTGCAGAAGGTATTGCATGGCGAGAGTCCACTAGATTGAATTTGAAGACTCAAACCCCTCCACCTTGCCCAAGGTGGGCAGATCACCTAAAGTCAGGAGTTCAAGACCAGCCTGGCCAACATGGCAAAACCGTCTCTACAAAAAATACAAAAAAAATTAGCTAGGTTTGGTGGTAGAGGCCTGTAATCCCAGCTGCTTGGGAGGCTGAGGCAGGAGAATTGCTTGAACCTGGGAGATGGAGGTTGCAGTGAGCCAGGATTGTGCCACTGTACTCCAGCCTGGGTGACAGAGTGAGACATTGTCTTGGAAAAAAAAAAAAAAAAAGACATGGTGTTGCTCTGTCACCCAGGCTGGAGTACAGTGACAAAATCATAGCTCACTATAACCTTGACCTCCTGGGCTCAAGTGATCCTCCTGCCCTGGCCTCCTGAGTAGCTAGGACTACACGCATGTACAACCATATGCCTGGCTAATTTTTTAAGTTTTTTGTAGAGACAGGGTCTTGCTATGCTACCCAAACTGGTCTCAGATTCTGGTCGGAAGTGATGCTCCTGCCTTGACCTCCCAAAGTGCTGAGATGACAGGCATGATCTACCATGCCTGGACTGTGTTACTTTTTATATGTGGTTGAAATAAGTATTTAACTTCATTGTTCTGCATGTAGATATCACTGTCCCAGTACCATTTGTTGAAGAGACTATTCTTACTCTTTTGAATGGTTTTGGCACCCTTGTCAAAAATTAATTGACCGGCCGGGCACGGGTGGCTCACACCCGTAATCCCAGCACTTTGGGAGGGTGAGGCGGGTGGATCACCTGAGGTCAGAAAGGTGTTTAAGACCAGCCTGGCCAACATGGCAAAACTCCATCTCTACAAAAATACAAAAATTAGCTAGGAGCAGTGGCAGGTGCCTATAATCTGAGCTACTCAGGAGGCTCAGGCAGGAGAATTGCTTGAACCTGGGAGGTGGAGGTTGCAGTGAGCTGAGATCATGACATTGCTCCCCAACCTGGGCTATAGAGCAAGACTCAGTCTCAAAATAATAATAGGTCAGGCGTGGTGGCTCACGCCTGTAATCCAAACACTTTGGAGGCCAAGGCGGGCGGATCACCTGAGGTCGGGAGTTCAAGACCAGCCTGACCAACATGGTGAACCCCCGTCTTTAAAAATAAAAATAATAATAATAATAATAATAATTTGACCATAGGTGTATGGGTTCATTTCTGGAATCTCAGTTCTCTTCCATTATCTATTGATCTATGTCTATCTTTATGCCAGCTCTACACCATTTTAGTGACTATAGCTTTGTAGTAAGTTTTGAAGTCAAGAAATATGAGGCTATCCCTTTTACAGATGAGGACATGGGGCTCAGAAAGGTGACAGCAAGTTGGCCAGTGATCCTCCTTCCCAGAGGGTGGGCCCTCAGGATTGAGCAGCCATGCTTTCCATACTCCCCACCCCCAAAGCAGCAGCAGAGGACCCAGCCCAGTGCTACCTTTTTTTTTTTTTTATTTTTTTTTTGAGACTGGGTCTCACTCTGTTGCCCAGGCTGGAGTGCAATAATGTGATCACGGCTCACTGCAACTCTCTGCCTCCCAGGTTCAAGTGATTCTCCTGCCTCAGCCTCCCAAAGTGCTGGGATTACAGGAGTGAGCCACTGCATCCAGCCTTTTTTTATTTTTTGTAGAGACAGGGCCTCCTTTTGTTGACCAGGTTGGTCTCGAACTCCTGGGCTCAAGCAGTCCTCCTGCCTCAGCCTCCCAAGGTGCTGAGATTACAGGCAAGAGCCACAGCACCCAGCCCAGTGCTGCTTCTGAGTCTGTGAAGGCAGCAACCACATCCCCCTTTCAGACCTCACATAATCAGAAGATTCCCCGTGCGAATGGGGTAGTGTGGGCCTGTCAGCCTTTGAGGAGGTCTGGCCTCTAACAGGCCAAGGGCTTCTGGCTCAGAGGGCTCCCTGCGCTGTGGGGAGACGCCAAAGTGATGATCAGGACATAGCAGCCACTTAGAGAAGAGTCCCTTATGCTGACTCTGGGGCCCACTCCCACTTTGCTCCCTTTGGCCTCTTCCTCCCTTTGTAGCGGTTGGATTGCAGCCCTGTCTACACTGGGCCAGGATGCCCTGGCCGTATCAGTCATCATGATGGTGGTGGCTGGCTTCTTCACCCTCTGTGCCGTGCTCTCAGTCTTCCTCTTGCAGCGGGTAAGTGGTGTGGGCAGGGCTGACAGCAAATGGGAAGCAGGTACCTGTTTCCTGCCCTTCCCATGAGATGTTCTTCACAACTATGGTTGGACCTCCTGGCCCCACAAAGGTCCAGCACCTTCCCCCGGGGCTCTGGGTGGGAAGTCAGGCAGTGCTGGGCTCCTGGTGACCCCTTTGGGAGTATAACCTGGATGTCTAGGTTCCTGGTGGGCCCAAAGGGCAGGTTCCTCTCACCCCACCCCTCTTCACCAGGTGCACTCCCTGTACCGCCGGACAGGGGCCAGCTTCCAGCAGGCTCAGGAGGAGTTTTCCCAGGGCATCTTCAGCAGCAGAACCTTCCACAGAGCTGCTTCATCTGCTGCCCAAGGAGCCTTCCAGGGAAATTAGTCCTTCTCTCTTCTCTCCGCTTCAGCTTTTCTCTCGCCTGCCTTGAGCTGCACTTATCCGTGGGTGCCTTATCTGGTGGTGGCTGTGCCCAGCACAGACCCCGAGGGGGGTCTTGCTGTGGCTCTTCCTCCTCCCTCAGTGACCAGCTCTCCCTGGAAGGGGAGGAAGGGACAGGGACTTTTTTTTTTTTTACACACACAAAAAAACAAAGCCATCTTTCCTTCTCTGGTGGTGCTTTGGTAGGATTCTTCTGTCTCTGGAAGCAGTGGGACTGAAGTTCTCTTACCCTTGTAGACACACAGACACCCCACAGTTGGGATCACTGGCTGACCTGGGCCCACCCCAGCTGGAGTTTTCTGCCAGGGTCCTGGGCCTCGACTCCCTGAACCCTGCAGGCCTGGCCTGAATCTGACTTCTCAGACACAGCCCAACCCTTTCTGCCCAGACTGGGAATAAGCCTCTCAGAGGCTCTGGCAGACAGCCCTGCTCCCCAGGTCACTGTCTCCAGGCTTCCAGAGAAGGCTGGTTGGCTCAAGCTCTTACCTGCCTCATGGTCCTCAAAAACAGATTCATAGCCCTTTAAGCCCCCTGCATGCTTCTGCTGGGGACAGCACTTTGAGCCCTCTGGAGCTCCCTTGCCGAGCCTTACTCTCTTTAGACTTTCTGAACGTGCAATGTGGTTGGTGGGATTTTGGGAGGGACCAGGGACACTGACCCCAAGCTGTCCTGCACAGCGTCTTCTAGGAGGGTGGGGTCTGCCTGTCCTGATGTGGTTGGTTTGGCCGTTTGCTGTGACTTCCCCTCCCTCTGAGGGACAGCTGCCTTTGCCTCTGCCTCAGATGCCACCCGCCCCGCCCATGCCCCCCATCAGCAGGATCCAGACTTTCAGGAAGGGCAGGGCCAGTCCAGAACCGCATCCTTCAGCGGAGACTTATAAGCCATCTCTTGGAAGGCCCCCTAATTCCCGAGTGGAGTCTGGCTTACACCCCAGGGGGTGTGTCACTGTGATGGGCACCTAGAAGTCCATCCTTAAAACCTGCATCGTATCCCTCAAGGCTGCCGACCGGGTTTGTGGACTGGGGGGGCCTTTCCACAAAACTAGCCTCCTGCCCTGCCGAGGCAGCCGCAGGCCTCCAGCCGCTCAGGCAGTCCCCAAGCCAATGAATGATACTGGCAGGGGCTGGGCTTTTATAAACTCCTTTCTGGTATTTTCCCCCCTCTATGTACAAATGTATATGTCTCAATTTTTGTGCTTGAATAAAAATAAAAAGACATTTTCAGACCACACTGGTTCTCATGTCTGGTGGACTTGGGAGGAAGGGGCAGCCCACAGGATTCGGGGCCGGGCGCTGCTGCTAGGCTTGGAGAGCGGGGACAGGTCAATAAACAGGAGAGCAATAAACAGGTCGTCAAGGCCCTTCCTCAGAAGAGTGAAAAGCAGCTGGAAGCTCCGGGAAGCCAACGCGGCCTCTTCCAAAGATGCCTTCTCGGCTTTCAGAGCTGCGGTTCCTGGGGCGGCGCCTCCTGGACGCCGTCGCCGCCACATGCCCACTCCGCCGCCCGCGCCCACGAGTGAGCGATCTCTAGATGCCTCTGCGCCCGCTGGGAGTCCCCGGAGGCCGCGCCGGCCGTCCTCCGCTCACTTCTCGGCTCGCAGGGGCCTCCGTGTCCCCTTGCGGGCCTTGGAAGAACTGGAGGGGCGCGTCCAGTGAGACGCGTGGACAAGGGAAGGGCGCCCGGAGCGGGGCGGAGCAGCGTCTCCGCTGCGCGCTGCACTTCCGGCGGGCGGCGCCGTGGGCCGCTTGGAGCCGCCCCGCGCTCGCCCCGCCCCCGCCCCCCCACCGGAACCTCCGCCCGCAGCGAGGAAGCGCCTGCGCGAGCGCGGGCGGCCGGGATGGCGGGGCCCGGTTGGGGTCCCCCGCGCCTGGACGGCTTCATCCTCACCGAGCGCCTGGGCAGCGGCACGTACGCCACGGTGTACAAGGCCTACGCCAAGGTGGGTGCCGGCCGCTGGCCCCGTGCCCACCAACCCGGAGCGAGCCCGGCTGCTGTCAGCCGGGGAGACTCCGAGAGGTTAGCGATAGCGTGGGAGCAGTTAGGGGCGGGAGGCCGGCCTCGCCCCAGCCGGATCCTCGGCGGAGGTTGGAGCCGACCGCCACGCTTAGGTCTCAAAAAACGAGCGCACCTGCATCCACCTGCAGGGTCAGTGGCTGAAGAACAGGCTCCAAACAGGTTACCTGGTGGCTGGGAGGAGTCTAGGACTGGAGCCAGTTAGGAGGCAGAGTGGGCGGTTCTAGACCCCTGAGTGACAGGTCTCTGTCAGGGGCACTCTAGAATGCAAAGAAATGGGTCTTCTAGCCGAGGGTTGGAAAAGACCAGGCTGGGTCGGGAAGCCAGGATTCCAGAGCCCACCTGCCTCACTGGCCTCATGAGGGAAAGCTGGGAAGCCCGGTGCTGGTGTGCAATAGGGCAGGGTAGGGGGACAGAGGGAACCAGACGGAGCCTTTCCAGCCAGGCAAGGGTCCGGGCCCCCTCAAGGTAGAGCCCCCAAATCTCCTGTCCCGCAGAAGAACACTCGTGAGGTGGTAGCCATAAAGTGTGTAGCCAAGAAAAGTCTGAACAAGGCATCGGTGGAGAACCTCCTGACAGAGATTGAGATCCTCAAGGGCATTCGACACCCCCACATTGTGCAGCTGAAAGACTTCCAGGTGTGAGCCTGGGGCGGGGCTGCTGCCAAAGGGAGCTGGAGAAGGGACACTCTCTTCAGGCTGCCTCTCTAACTCTAACCACAGTGGGACAGTGACAATATCTACCTCATCATGGAGTTCTGCGCAGGGGGCGACCTGTCTCGCTTCATCCATAGCCGCAGGATTCTGCCTGAGAAGGTGGCGCGTGTCTTCATGCAGCAATTAGGTAAAGGCCTGTGACCCCAGCCTGACACTCTGTCCCTTGTTCTCTGCATCCCCCCCACCCCCCCGCACCATCACACCCCTCCCCCAGGCTTAGAGACTTGACACACATTGCAGTTGCCTCCTGCACAGCCTGGAATTTTAGGGTCCTGTTTATCTTATACTCTCAGCCCTTGCTCAAGGATGCCGTGGGTGAGATGAGGGAGGAGCCCTCCCCTGTGGGGTGTTCAGGCTTCCACATGCAGAGCATAATATAAGGATCTTGCAGAACATTCCAGAGCCCTGTGAGTAGGACTCAAGTGCTGTGCCAAGGAAAAGAGCAAGATTCTCAAGGGCTGGGCATCCAGGGAGGCTTCTGGGAGGCCGGGAGACTTGTGAAGGGGAAGAGGGGAGGAGGGTGGGCACTCCGGGTAGGGTGGCAAACTCCTAGAAGTGGTGAGGTCCTTGTGCTTGTATGGAAAACATTAGACCAGCCAGGCAGGAACTGGGGTTGGGCAGGCTTGAGGAAGCAGATGTGCGAGGAGGCAGATGTGAGCCCAGGAGGTGAGAGGCAAGTGGGAATGGCTCTGACCTGTCTCTCTTCATGGGTCCTGCTCCTCAGCTAGCGCCCTGCAGTTCCTGCACGAACGGAATATCTCTCACCTGGATCTGAAGCCACAGAACATTCTGCTGAGCTCCTTGGAGAAGCCCCACTTAAAACTGGCAGGTCTTTGTCTGGAACAGCAGGGTCTGAGGTCTGGAGACTGTGACTCCCATCTGTGGTCACATAGGAGGGTTTGTGGTGGGAGAGTAGGAAGTGGTGACCTTTGAAAAAATTTGGACAAGAATTGACGCTGGAGGCCATAGACTGTGGTAGAACCTAGCCTGAGAGGACAGTGAGAGGGTGGGGGCTTATCCATGTAGCTGGTGTCATCAGGTGGGCTTCCTAGGAAAAGGTGCCTGGGGGAACTGTGCAGGATGGGTAGGTTTTACATCCCAGAGGCAAATATAGGAAGGTGTTCCAGGCTAATGATGAGCAGAGGCTTGGAAATAGGGTTGATCCGGGCGGGTCTGGAGGGTGGAGAGGAGCCCAGGGTGAGGCTTAACAAGCCAGGAGCAGAAGCAGCTGGAATTTGAGCCCTGCTGCCTGGCCTCTTGCCTGCAGACTTTGGCTTCGCACAGCACATGTCCCCGTGGGATGAGAAGCACGTGCTCCGTGGCTCCCCCCTCTACATGGCCCCCGAGATGGTGTGCCAGCGGCAGTATGATGCCCGCGTGGACCTCTGGTCTGTGGGGGTCATCCTTTATGGTGAGACCCCCTTTCCCTGCCTCTCACCCTGAGGCCTACACTGTCCTGAAGGGTTCTATGAAAACTGACTGCTGGCTTAGGGCCCTTGCTGAGGGGCGTCAGGCCCCCTCCTCCCCAGGTGTGGGCCAGGCCAGGCTTGACACATCCCCTCCCAGCCTTTGCTCTGCCTCCCTTCCACAGAAGCCCTCTTCGGGCAGCCCCCTTTTGCCTCCAGGTCATTCTCGGAGCTGGAAGAGAAGATCCGTAGCAACCGGGTCATTGAGGTGGGTCTGTCAGGACCTTAGCGACCATTTGAAGGGGGCGGAGGGAGTCAGGGCCCTGAGGGTTTAGACCTCCGTCTCGCTTGCACAGACTGGATTATGGGCTCCAGGCTGCCTTCGTAGTGGAGGGGCATGCTCTAGGCTGGAAGTGGAGGTGCGGGGCTGTCCCAGGGATTCTGATCAGCCCCCAGTAGGCAGCACAGGGCCTATTTTGCAGGCCCTTGTGGAGAGAAGGCCAAAGCAGAGCCAGGCCCAGCTTTCCCAGGAGCATAGTCCAGGGAGGGAATAAGGACCCATACATAAACACAATTCTAGCTCAGCTCAGGGCTCCAGCGTGGGTGCACCAGGAGCCCAGGGATGGAGGCCTGGCTCCCCATTGGCGACATCATCTTGACCTACCCTGTTCCTCCCTGGTCTCAGGTTCCCCACCTGTCCAACATGTATGTCGGGTTCCTCACAGACCTCTGGGCTAGAGTTGTAGGTGCTGGAGCCCAGTGTGATCTGTCCCTGCCGTCCCCTTCCCTGCAGCTCCCCCTGCGGCCCCTGCTGTCCCAAGACTGCCGGGACCTACTGCAGCAGCTCCTGGAGCGGGACCCCAGCCGGCGCATCTCCTTCCAGGACTTCTTTGCGCACCCCTGGGTGGACCTGGAGCACATGCCCAGCAGGGAGAGTCTGGAGCGAGCAGTGAGCAGGCGGGTGGGGATGGGGTGGGCTGCAGGTGGGCTGGAAGTCTCATTCCCCACTTTGGTGGTGAATAGGTGACTCGCCCAACAGA